GCTGGAAGCTATGTCACCAGTGTTTCAAATACCAACAGGGTCACCCATGGTGAACAGGTTTCAGCAGAACATCCACACTAAGACAGACTAGGAAGAAAGGTCTGCTGATTGACTTCTAAAAATAACCCAGTAGAAACCTTGTGGATCACAACAGAACATTGTCCGACTTGCATGTTTTGGACACTTTATCAGGAGGGACCAGTCACTGGAGGAGGACATCATTTTAGGTGAAATGGATTGGCACAGTAGCCACAATTAGGGACTTGAACATGCTGGCAATTCTGAGGGTGACATAGGACCGGGCAACGTTTGGTTCTGTTGTACGTAAGGTTGTCGTGAGTCAGAGTCCGCTCACCAATGGCTATTATCATCATCATCATATGACAATAGACCCAAAGACTTAGCATTGTTACATGTAGTTGATGTGCAAGTGTGATGTCTGGGGATTGGAGGGCAGGAAGAGGATAGGATGGTGCTATGGTGTTTAACAGCTATCATTCTCCTTAATTTTTGCAATAAGCCCCCTCAAAATAGAAATATGCTTATTTCAGGGCAAGCACAGAGTGGGGGAGAATTTGGGAATTTGATAGAATTCATGGTAGGAAGGAAAACATGCAGAACTCCAGGGGAAAGAAATAAGGTGAAAGGAAGCCAGGTGAGGCTGACCAGACCCAGGGGGTCTGTACATCCCAGGCACTCACACTCAGGGGCTCCTTGTTTCTGCGCTCTTCGGATGATGCCCCGTGCTCCTGGCTCCTCTCACCCTTGCCCTGCTGGAACCCCTGCCCTAGACCAGTGATTGGGATTAAGGCATAGCTCCCACCAGCTAGATATGGAACCTTGCATCTGTTGCCAGGGGTGTAGAGGGGAGTTAGACCCTTACATATTAAAACTGAGACTTTAAATACACTTTTCAGCGAAACTCCACTGTAACCTGGGTTAAATGTTGCTGGAGTTTCTATATAAGCACAATGACAGCACCCAGTTCTTCTGGGCTGTCAATAACATGGGCTCCTATAGGCCAGCTGGGAACCCAGCCCCCTACTAAGAGCATTGTTTCCATGGAAACATGCAATCTCTGACCCAAATATCCAGGTTAAAACTTCGCTGTTTTGTCTGTCTCAGTGTATGAATCAGTCAGGGATTGCCAATATTGGATAAAAATTGGGGTTTGCTTTTAAACAATCTTCTTCCAGATTGTCCATTCCTATTAGCAAGAATAATGGTGAGTGAACCCTCTAGTGTTTAGATGAAACTTCTGTTATGGCAGGATTAGCCAAAACCAAGATGGAAATCCTTCTCCAGCCATTGCTCATTTGCTTTTCCTTTTTCTCCTTGAAACCCCGCAGGGCGAGCCCTGCTGAGACTTACTGACAAAAAGCTGGAGCGGATGGGGATTGCCCAGGAGAACCTCCGGCAGCACATTTTACAACAGGTGCTCCAGCTGAAGGTGCGAGAAGAAGTCAGAAACCTACAGTTACTCACACAAGGTATCCTGCTGGTTCCTAGTGAGTGGATGGAAGGGGAGATGGGAGGAAAGAAAGCCTCACTATCCTGACAAAGCAGAGCTCTGGTGAATGTGGTCATGTTTCTTGGCAGTATTTCCTTCGTGTAAAAAAGAAAAAAAAAAAATGACAACATGCATATAGTTTTAAAAACCACTTCTCTCCCATAACTTCTCTTTTTCATAGCTAACTGGAGGGAAGGATGCACAGATAAGTAATGGCATAATATGTAAGATTTTTCCTGATAATTAGCTGGGTTATCTTCAGTGTGACCGTATATGTCTATACAGGTTGCATACTGCACAACCCCAAAGAGTACTCTTCACATAGATCAGGATACAGTTGCGCCGCCTGGAGTTTTATCTCGTGCAGACTGCACAACAGTACAGTTTGACCCTAGCTGTCTTTGACCATCAATTCTGAGTGAGTCTTGGAATTTGAATGATTCCATGGTTCATATGGCTGGAGCCCTGGTGACATAGTGGTTAAGAGCTCGGCTGCTAACCAAAAGGTCGGCAGTTCGAATCCACGAGCCGCTCCTTGGAAACCCTATGGGGCAGTTCTACTATGTCTCCATATGACTAAGGATGTAAGTGGGGTTTTGTTGTATTTTGTTTTGCATTGCTTTTCACTGGGAAAAAAAAATTTCATAGGGATGGTAAGAACTCTGTTCAGCCTCTTGAAAATAAAATATTTTTTTAAAATAGACTTTAGGAAATTTAAGATTGGACTATCAAGACCATCTCCTTCTTAAGAGGGACTATTAATAACTAATATGATGGGAGCACGTGAGATACTCATAACTGTGGAAGGGACAGAATAAAGCTGGAAAGAAAACCTGAAGTTACACTGTACGTAACTTGTATGTTTATATAAAATTTAGTTTAGATCAACTACCGTTGGCGATAACCCTTTATTTTATTCTAATGCCCATTGTGCATAGTTTGAAATGAAGGGATGATAAAATACTTGTTTTTTGAGAGCCTTGGGTATTTTTTCAATCTGCCGAATATTGTAATTGCATGCATACTGATATTGCAGAAATCTGGGTCAGCCAAGCTTCGTGTTATTACATTTAGATTAATCCAGTAATAGTCCATTTGCCTAGAGGAAGTCATATACTGCTTGAAAGCTGACTGTTCTAGAAGGATAAATATAGACTCCGAGTGATATGAAAATAGTTCTGTTTATTTGATATGCATTATTTGCATTTTGTCTCCAGAGACTTTCAGTGGTGAATTTATAGGTACTGTTTTACTGAGTGATTTAAATTTGAACTTGGCAGGCTGATATACTTTTAAGTTTCTTTTAAGAAGTAAACAGAGATTCAAAAACTTATAAGGAGAAAGTTCCTTGCAGTGTTATTTATAATACTGAAATATTAGAAACAACCTAGAGGTCCAGCAATATGTAAAAATCAAATAATTCTGCTTCAGTTCATGGACTACAATGAAATACATTCATGAAATTACATTTGTAAGTCATATATGACACCATGGGGAAGTAAGAGGTAATATGAAGAGGGAGAAAACATGTATAAAATTTTACTTATAATATCAGCCCAATTTTGTAAAAAATATGTATTTTTATATGTATATAGAAAACAAGGCTGCAAGTGAATATGCCAATATTTTAATAATGGTTTTCTCTGGGTGGTGGGATTATAGGTGAGTTTATTTTCTTTATATTTTTCTATTGTTTCTAAATTTTCTACTGTAAATCCGTATCATGGTTATAATCAGAAAATATACACAAGCATATTTATCTAAGTTTCAAACACAACCAGAGTTCTGCCCAGGGTCTATTTACTGTCTAAGCTTTCTTCAGCGTTTTTGTTTTTTTCCGTGATGATCTATAGAATGAGACCTGAAGTCATTGTGTGTGCCTGTGTGTGCCTGTGCATTGTGACTGTCTGCTACTGTCAGCCTGCAGTGTGTTTGCTTTGCAAAATCATTTCTACAGCTTTCATGCATAATATATCAGATTTTTTTCTGAGATAGTACTCAAGTCTATTAAGCTAAATATATGTTTGTGTTCTGGGAAGGTAATGCGAAGTTCAGCCTTTTGCATTCAGTGGTTGTCACTAGCTTTGAAAAGCTGTTCATTTTGAAATTCTTTTATTCCATTCCCTTTGGAAGAGATGACTGTTTTCTCACTCATGGATATTTTGTCTGTACTCATATTACCTTTTTTTATTGCTTGTCCTTTACATGTTAATGCTCAAACTGATGTCAGGCATCCTTTAGAAAATCCATAGCCTTATTGAAGTAATGGCTTCTTTAAAAAACAAGATGAAATAAAAATCGACAAGTTTATACGTCTGATAATAGAAATTCTGAAGACAGCTGATGTAGCTTTAAAATGTTTGGGGTCGAGTTTTCTATAATAGGAATTGGAGTTCCATTTTCCCCAAGTGACCATGTGCGTTATATGAAAATTCACCATAGGACAGGTATGTGATTCAGTATTGAACATTTCATTCCTCTCTGCAAATCTTAATTAGCAGAAATAATGTGCGGAATAAGTACAAACAAAGCTTTCAGAATGTTACTTAGTTTTTGGAGCTCCTTGGGCCTCCTTCTCGAAGAGTGTGAGTTACATATCCAACCTATAAAGATATAATAACTTTCCACGGCCCACATTGAGCCTGTGACTGTGGTGGAATGCAGTTACCTTTTTTGTTGTTGGTGGTGGGGTTTTTTAACAAGTATTTACCAAATAACACATCTCATTGAGGGGTATCTCCTTCAAGTAGTCAATTTTTTAGGAAAGGGATTTATTTTGAGGATGATTAAATTTCTTATAAATTTCCTATTTTGCCTTTAGAGGCAGTTTCAAAGCATAAGCTTTAATTGTTTGAGTAGCAAAAGATTGAGAAGAACCTAAGTGCCCTTCTTTGGGGGACCAGCTAAACAATCTTTGGTAAATCCAGGTCCTGGAGTACTCTGCATCTATTAAAAGAAGAAGAAGAAGACTGAAGAATACTAATATAGAAGGATCTTGGGGATGCTATGTTAAGTGAAAAAAAGCAAGGTGCAGAATGATGTATATAGTATGCTACATTTTGCATATGAAAAAGGGAGAAATAATAATGTATATCCGTGTGTGTTTTATTTACATAAAGAAATGCTGAAGGATACACAAGAAGTTAATTCAAGCTGCCACTTGTGGCACAGGGAAGAAGGTGGATGCAGACAGGATGTATATACCATTTATGTCACATAGTACTTGAAATACAAAATGTTTATTATTTGTAAGAATTATTCACTGTTTAAAAGAATAATTTTTTTTTAAAAAGGAACAGAAAGGAAGAAGAGTGACTTTTAACATCAGATTAACTTGAATTTAAATCCTGACCCCAACACTTACTGCTGTGTTACTTCAGAGAAGTTACTTAACCTCTCTGTGCTCCAATTTCTTGATCTCTGAAATGGAGGTCAGTAATTCTACCCGCCTCATAGAGAGGTTGTAAGGATAATGTGAGGATTAAATGAGCTAAAATATATAAATCACTTAGTAAAATGTGACACTAAGTGCAGAATATAATTAGCTGTCAGTAATAGAAGCCACACAATTAAGCCAACCTCAATAATTTATAAACAAGCCTTATTTTTTATAGCATGTTTACTGAGATATAATTCACATAACATGCGGTTCACCCATTTCAAGTATGTAATTCAATGATGTTTAGTATATTTACAGACTTGTGCAACCATCACCACAGTCAATTTAAGAACATTTTCATCACCCCCCCCAAAAGAAACTTTGTAACCATTAGCAGTCACTCCCCATTTCCTACTAACACTCCTCCATTTCAGCTCCTGCCAAGCACCTTATGTGATTGTACCAACCTCTGTATGTCTATTTGCCTATTCTGGACAAGTCCTATAAATAGAATCACACAACATGTGGTCTTTGATTGCCTCCTTTCACTTAGAGTAGTGTTTTTAAGTTTCACCCATGTTGTAGCATGTGTCAGTATTTCTTTTTATTGCCAAATAATATTCCATTGTCTGGATATACCACATTTTATTTATCCATTCATCAGTTTATGGGTATTGGGATTGTATTTACTTTTTGATTATTGTTAATAATATTGCTATAAATATCCACGTACAAATTTTTGCATGGTTGTATGTTTTCATTCTTATTGGTTATATATGTAGGAGTGGAAGTGCTGGGTCATATGGTAACTATGTTTAATCATTTGAGGAACTGCCAGACTGTTTTTCAAAGCAGCTACACCATTTTACATTCCCACTAGCAATGTATAAGGGTTCCCTTTCTCCACATTCTTGCCAACACTTTCTGTAGTCCATCTTTTTTTTTGTTATAGCCGTCCTAGTGTATATGAAGTGGTATCTCATTGTGGTTTTGATTTGCATTTCCCTGATGGCTACTGTTGTTGAGCATCTTTTCATGTGCTTTTTGGCCATTTGTTTATCTTCTTTAGGAAAATGTCTATTCATATCCTTTGCCCACTTTTTAATTGAGTTATTTGCCTTTTCTGAGACTTAGTTTTGGCCCACGGTGTTATCACCATGCTTGATTACCCGTCTGATTTACAAGAATTGGAGTTACATAGTTGATTGTCATTTCCAAAAAAGAACCCCGTCCTCAAAGGATGAAGTCTTGCCCCAGGGAAGACATTCAGAAAAACCTGCCACAAACTCAGGAATCAGTTCAACATGGAATTTATAAATCCACTCTAAAGATTTTCTTGTCAAGGAAACAACACTCTTTTGGATATAAAAATTACACACACATATGCACACACTTATTACACACATACACCCCAAATCCATTGCATCATTTTGTAATCAAAGCTTCAAATTAGATGCACTCATCTGAGAGCTCATTCTGCAGTATTTCTGGAGGAAATAATAGGTAATTGGACTTTCTTTTCCAACTTTCGTGTGCTGTTTAAAAATTGTTTTTAGCCTTTGATTCCACACCAGTCGTTTTCACACATTGGCCAGGAGCCC